TTTTGTTAGATTTTAAAACTACAGACACTGATAAGTATTTACTAAGGGCGTTTTTGTTGGACATGAAACCTTTTGGATCGACGGTTTATCCTAGACTCGGTCACCTGACTGAGTCATGGAATAGTTTGAGTTTAAAAACATTGCATTTAACCACACTATTCAAACACTAATTATCGAAAGCCCTTAATTTATTGGAGACTGAAATGGGTACAAAATGGATCAAAGGACAATGTGGGTCATGTTGACATCCTTAGGGGGTTTAACTTTGAGCACTGGATTGCTCTCAAAGAAATTGGAAGGTCTCAGCTCAAATCCACCCTTCAATGTGGGCATCAATGGAAAATCTTCTTGATAAGGCACGTGATGAAAACCCAATGTGTACCATGTCACTATGTCCTTATTTTCTATACTTCTATTCCTGCATTTACATATTCACAAATTACAAATTTTAACCAAAAAAAAGAAAGAGTAAATGCCTTTTCCCACCCAAGGTTTGCCTTAATGATTTTCTCACCCAAAAAGTTTCAATCTACTATATTCTCACCCAAAATTTATATTCTGTTATCACCCAAAGCTGATTCAGACCGCGAAAATTCTCTTCGTCACTACCATTTGAACCTCCGATCTCCTCTTTACAAAACCTCTCTCACTTTGGCACCAAATTTTTGCCGATTGTCGACCACATCAAAGTTAGAGCTTTCTATTCTTAGTTGATTTCAAATTGATTCCGACAACAAATATTCAATCGATCATCACCATTTGATCCACTAACATCCACTCTACAAAACCCCTCTTACCCTAACTCTTGGTAACTCGTCAAACGCTAACTGAGAAAGTAAATTGTATTTTGGGTATTAACAAAAAATAAACTTTAGGTGGGAAAGTATATTTTGAAATTTTTTGGGTAAGAAAGGTCATTAAGGCAAACCTTGGGAGGGAAAAGTTTACTCAAAAAGAAAATGCTACAAATCTACCATGCTATTGAATAGATTTATTCAATAAAGCTATTTGAAATCAACTTACCTATTGCTCCATACGGCTAAATTGTCATCCCCACGGCTTTGATCAGTGTAAAGGCCCGCGGCCCATTTTTCAGATTTGTTATATGCCGTGACCCACACATTATAGTTGGTGAACTCCGCCCTGATTTGCGGATAATCATCGTACGATAAAAGGGCACTCGTGACTCCCTCAGGGATCAGACGGTAGCCAACAAGGTTCCCCATTTTGGTCTTCTTATTTGGGTTCACAAATAGCAAATCAGCTGACTCTGATCCAAGCTTGACCCTTCCATCAGACTCCGTTTTAGCCGTTTGACTATCAACCTTCCAGTAGCTCTTTCTAGGTGATCTCTGATCTTTAATTTTGACGGTCCCCAATTTGGACTTGACAAAGGAATTGGCATCATCGTCCACGTCAAGATCAAGACGGTAGTTAAGGAAATGATCATGGTGTACACCTATTGTATTTTGTGCCAGCAATGTACCGTAAACATCCTCCTCTATTTGTTCTTTATGAGTGTATTTTGTTCCCCTCACTGCTAGCAGTCCTGTAAGCCCAACCTATACAATTGTATGACATGAATAATTTATAACATCTTAATACAAAAAAATAAATAAAATTAATTAGTTACCGTGACTTTGATAGAGCCGCTTTGCGTGAATTCCCAATCATTGATGTAGTCGTAATTTCCAATTGTTGATACCATTCTCACCACTAACGTTACCTCTTGTCTAACTTCTCTTACCTGAAATTAACTTTCCATGATAAAAAATTTAAACAAAAAATTGAATTAATTATGTTAAAATGATTAATCCAATACCATTTTTCCCGGAATACCAACTTCAGTGTGGCGCCACATGACATCTCCTGCATAGCGTTCAAAAATGCAGAAAACATTAGGAATCTTCCGGGGCAACCCATCTTGGGCGGCAAAGTAAACGTCCAAGAAAACTGCAGTAGCAGGGCAATCTCTGAGTGGCTGAAGCGGCATTGCGCATAAACCATAGCCATATTCACCCGCATCAAAGAATGTTCTGTAATACCACTCGTTTGTTAGATCCATGTATGGCACAAAGAGCTCCGACACATGTGCTTTGTACATTACCCGACGAAGCTCTTGCCTCTCGGGATCGTAAATTGATGCCAACGATATAATCAGCCCCGCTCTGGCATCGAAACTTACATGGAATTCCCAGTCCGCCCACCTATATATTAATGGTAATTAAGATCCCGTGAACACATTTTTAGCAGATCATTATAATTTGCCAGTGACTTGAAGAATTAAACTCATTAATTACCTAATTTTGTGTCCGTCAACTGTGAAACTTGGACCGTCAGGTTGAACTACTGTAATCCTATTCAAGCTTGGACTGAAAGGTGGTTTTAGCTCGGATTCTCTGTATTCAGTCCCCTCAGCCTTCGGCACAGGGACGATAGCTCTATCACTGAACGCAATGATTTTCATCTCTTCAAGATCAACCTTCATTGTGATTCCCTCTATTGGTCTCATGTATATATTCACTGTCCCATCTGAATAATAGCACATAACCTTGACTATTCTTTTACTCTTCTTCTTCTCCCCGAACCAACCTACAGTGAAACTCTGGCACACCACCTCTTCAAGCTTGAGCTCTCTATTTCTAATAGACGCCACAAAGGGCGGGTAAGTGAATGGCAACTTGTTTGCCCGTTCTTGGTCATCAATAGAGAGCGTAGGGTAGCCATAACCATCGTAAATTTGAGTAGATATAATAGACTGCTGCAGCAAGTCGACAATGATTTCATGGGACTGATGATCTATACGTGCAATAACGAAGGCCTGGCGAGGTGGGTTCGCGGTGGTGTTGTCTTTGAGCCATGAGAGAATAAGTGGCTTGCTTGGTTCTTCTAAACCTACGTATTGAAAGGTCAGGTTGTGGTTTGAAATTGGGTATGCTTTAGTCACAATGGTTTGGACTTGACTGAACTCTGATGGAGTTAGAGAGTCCAAAGGATGATACTGGTGGCTGGAGGAAACGAAGAAGATATGAAGGAAAAAGTAGAAGAAAATGGTTTTGAATGTAGCAGCCATAGTTGTCACCGGAGATTGTTTAATTTGTTTCTGTATTACAAAAAAAAAAAGAATCAGATTATTGTTATTATGAACAGATGGAATCAAACTCAAGGTTATGGTATAAGAGGGGAATTCCAACGAGGTCGATGATACCGAGAGCCACATTTGATAATGTAAGGAGCTTTGTATGATATTGTTTAAAGTTTTCTACTTGACAAAAAGACATAATTGCCGGCTACACACTATCCATACCTTTGATTCTCCGAACTGAAGCAAATGCAACTGAAAACGAAATTTAACTGATTTCACCTCTTTTTAAGACTTTTGTCTCAACAAGGTGTACTTATGCATCGCAAAGGTGAAACAGGCTAGGGCTCTTTCGAGCCAAGCCAAGCCAAGTTTTCGGCAAATCAAGCTCAGCTCGAAATGGTGGAAAGGGTAATTGAGTTCGAGCCGAGCTGATTGAGCTGCTGATTTTATGGCTCGGCTCGAGCTGTTAAGGAAAATTATTTATTTGAGCCTTGCTTGTGAGCCGACTAAATAAACCGAATTCGAGCCGGCTCTTGAGCCACTAAAAAAACCTATAATTTGCAGGCTGTAAACCTACTACCTACATAGGCAACTAATAAATATATATTTATAAAACCCCAAAAGAGGTCATAGGACAATGAGGAAGAAGGCGAAAAAGCTTTTGAATCATAAAACCATTTCAATCCAACCAAATAGGCAACAAGAAGAATGTGGTAATTATATTTAATTATATATTTAATGCTGCAACATAACTCGAAAAACTCACAATTTGCAGGCTGCAAACCTACTGCTTATATGGACAGCTAATAAATATATATTTATAAAAAATATGGTAGGGTATCATTGCTAAAATTACTTTTTTTTTTTTTTTCTTCTGTAAGGTCATTTGTTATTTTAAAGTGACGTAATAACTGTCATATCAGTTACCTCATCATCCGTTTCCACATCATCTGTCCTCTTTCTCCGGTCTTTTCTCTTTCTTTTCTTTCTCTTCTTCCTCTTCATCAATCTTCTCTCCATTTTGCAGATATAAGAAAATAAAAACCTATTGTTGTTCTTTTTCCTTTATCGTTGATTTTCTAAAAATATTTCTCTCCACTCTTAATCTCCTCTATCTTCTTTATCTCCGGTCTCTTCTTCCTCTTCTTCTAATTCTTTTTCCTTTTTTTCTTTTTTTATTTTCCCTTATATTTTCTCATGGAAATTTCGAAAAGTAAAGTGTAGAGATAGAATCAGATCACCAAGATCCAAATCAGTTCACTAGGCCTAAAAGGAACTCTCCCACCGGACCTCAAGAACTTAACTTCACTGACTATACTTGAGGTGATAAAGGACGAACTGAGTGGGCCTATCCCAACTCTTGCTGGGTTGATTTCTCTTCAAGAAGTGCTTTTTAATAACAACAATATTTCATATTTTCCCCGGATCCCTTTCCTAATTTATCTTCTTTACAAAGTATAAGCCTTGATTATAATTCCTTTGAGTCTTGAGAGATTCCTTTGAGTTTAACAAATGCAATGACTTTGCAGAAGTTTTCAGCAAACTTTGCTAATATTTCAGGGACTATTCCTGGGTCTCTGGGGGGATATATTCCAGGATTAAAGAGTTTGAATTTGGTTATGAATAAACTTGCTTACTAGTATTATATTGTTTGTTTAGAGATGGAATTTTATGAGAAAATGTGAAGCAAAATGTAGAAAAAATTTAGAAAGAGAATTTTCCATAAGAAAATATAAGGAAAAAGAAATAGAACAAGAGGAAGAAGAGATAAGCAAGAAAGAAGATAGAGGAGATAAGAGTGGTGAGAAAAAAATTTAGAAAATCAATGATAAAGGGCAAAAAAGAAAAAATTAGGTTTTTTTTCCCCTTAGATCTACAAAATGGAGAGAAGATTGAGGGAGAGAAAGAAGAGAAGGAAAAGAAAGAGAAAAGACTAAAGAGAGAGCGCAAGTGATGTGGAAACTAGTGATGAGGTTCAGCTGCTACATCGTTTTATACATGTACAAATATTCTTTTGAAGAGTCTTTTACCTCTAGCATTTCTCTTCTTTAATTTATATCACTTGCGTCTTCATCATGTGACCATTTTTTTTATCTTCTTCCTGTTTCATCGTCACTTGTTTTCTTTTTTCTCTGCTATATTGTTTCATCATGTGCTCTCTTCCTAAAATAAAGTATCATTACCTTGTATACTCTAACAAGATTGTGGCGACGGCGAAGGCTAAGGAGTGAAGCAAAGTGACAGCAACGCCCTCTAAGCTCTGAATCAAAACGATGGCAACGGTGAGCTACAGGTGCAAGGATTTGCTATTTTGGTGACGACAAATATCATGCTTGTAGGATGGATTTCTCTAATTTAGGGTTTTATCGATTTGGAAAAAAAAAATATCGAGTCAAAGTCGGCTCATGGGCCAATCAAGTGAAGCTAGGCGAGGTTCGAACTCGACTCAAAGTTTTACACAAACTGAGCCAAGCCGACTCGATTCCACCCGAGTCAAGCCGTGATCGGTTGAATTGAGCTGGCTCACGAGTGGCTCGATTCGTGTAACACCCCTAAAACAAGCCGATCCTATTTCAAAAAAACTATTATTGATGGGCAATAATTCAGGAATTTTTTACTCACAAGAGCTCATTCTATTTTCATTTTTATGTGCATCCAAATTAGAAATGAACAAAAATTCTTCTACAGAATTCTCTATATATATATATATATATTTCAGTTTCGAAAAGTGAGCAACAAGGACGCGGATGAGCCTTTGGTAAAAGAGGTTTGCTTCATAAACTCATCTTTGAGTTATTGGGTCCAAACAGTTAAGATTATTTTAGAATTAGAATAATTATGTTAAATTTTTTATAATTATGCTATTATCTTATTGGGATAGAATTAGGAATTAAGATTATCTTATTATCTTTTTATAATTAGAATATAATATTTTTTTAGATTTGAATTAGGCAATTAGAGTCCTTTTGGGCCAAAAAGACTGTAATTTCCTAATTCAAATCTAATAAAATATTTTATCTAATTATAAGAAGATAATAAAATAATTTTAATTCTATCATAATAACATAATTATAAAAAAATTAATATAATTATAAAAGATTTAATATAATTATCATAATTCTAAAATACCCTTAATATAAATTTTAAGATCACCTATTAAGATAATAATACTACGATTTGATTTTTTTTTAGTTTATAAGGTGTTAAATAGAGGGAGCAGCGGTATTTGAAATATGTGCAGAAAATGATTCTTTGCAGCTTTATGCTCTCACTAATGTGAAGTGACTGAAGCCTGAAGAAGGCGTCAACTTAGATGGCCGCAATTTCTCGGCTTTTTTTGTTCACAATAAGGTGTTTTTGTGAAAAATTGTCTGAAAAAAGTTTAAAAAAATTAAATTGGACGGATATTATTATATAAAATTTATAAATTAATAAAATATCTCATATATTTATTTATTTATAAAAATTCTTATAATAAAACATTAAAAGTTAATAAAAATACCTTCAATCCAATCTCAAATACGGACAGTCAGCCACCACCATCGGAGGGTAGCTAGATTTATCGTATCGGTACATGACCTGTTGGATCTTGTCGGTCGTATACCGATATAGCTTTTTTTGATCAAATTCACGGTAGATCTGGCCAGCAAAGGCCAGATCTACGGCCAGATCTGACCGTATTTGCTCGTCAATGACGGCCAACAAACGATCGTCGTTGATGGTCAACGACGATCGTTTGTTGGCCATCGTTTCCAACTGTTACAGCCAAAGATCTGGCCGTCAACGGCCAAATCTTTGGCCTTAGATCTGGCCTTTTCCAGCCAGATCCACCGTGGATCTGACCGAAAAATGCTAGATCGGTGTACTATCGATCAGATTCAGTCGGTAGTACGCCATCCTAACAGATTCCGGTCATTTTCCGGCAGTGGTAGCCGGAATCTGGTAAATGTGGATTACTGGGGTGTTTTTGCAATTTTAAAAAAAAATTTAGGTGTATTTAATTAAATTATCAAATTTAAGGGGTTTAAAAAAAATTGAATAATATTGAGAGTAGTATTCCTAAAAATCAGAGTTTTTGGGTATTTTACTGTTTAACTTTTTTGGGAATACTAAAAGTAGTATTCCCAATTGGCAACCAAACGAAGCCCTCGTTTTTATAGATAGTATAGTCTGGCATGTGAGAGTGAAAAATATTAAGGTATTTTAGGATTTTCAAAAAATGCGGTTCTAATTCTTGAAATTTGAGGATGCGTAAAATGAGATATTGTGTGTACATAACAATTTAATGGGTTCATATAATATTAATTTCGAATAATCTTATGCATCCTAAATTTTAATTTATTTTCTATTCACATATATAAATGATGATGCTTGTCTCGTGCAAAGAAGAATATGACACATAACAATTAACACATTATTTAAAAGATGAAAAATTTAAGAGAAAGTTGGAGATATTCAATTTTCATTCATTACATTTTTTTAGGCATAATTAATGGTAAAAACAGTATTTCCTTATAAAATATATATCTTCACCTGCCAATCAAATATCCCATAAAGATACCACATCTGGAAACCGGGATTTGGAAGGTACTGTTGGTCAACAAGTACAGCTCTCTGTGCAGCAAAGCACAAATTTGGGGCAATCATCTTCTGAGGTTTCTCATCAAGAGGAACCTCGTTATGCAGTTCAGAATTCCAGCAAGACAGAAACTCAAAACATTGCAGGGTTTGTATCAGAATTTTCTGCTTTTGCAGGAAAAGTTCCAACTGATGTCCCTAGCATATCAAATCAGAAGGATGTATCAAAAAGCTTTGAGTTTGGTAAGGAGTTGCTTGGAAAGACTGGATCAGCTGGCTTACAGAGTGCAACATCTCAATCATGGTCAAGTGGGAAAAACGTATTTGTAAATGAATCTGATGTCAAATCACCAGTTATACCTTCAAGTCACATTCAAGGTAAAAATTCTGAAAATTTTGGCACTAGTGTAGGTGCTGCAAATGTTTCTGGTGGCTTTGCTGGAAAACCTTTCCCTTGGAAGGATGCCAGGGGGACATCATCTTCAGTCAATTTTTCTACTAGACCAGTCCAGGGTGATGGTCTGAGAACTTCAACCGAGATGGGGAAAATTGAGTTGTTACCATCCATACGTAGTTTGCAATCTTCAACACAAACAAATTTTGCTTCTGGAAAGTCTCACAACAATAAGCTTTATCCTTCCAGAGATGACTACAAAGCTGCTGTTTCAGGAATGCCAAATTCAGAACCAAACTTATCGAAACAGTCTGGCAATGTAATGAACATTTTATGGTCTCTCTTCATCTTTTACACATTTCCCTGTATCTGGGTGATGGGCAACTTCATATTTGTTCTTTCTCCTTGTTTACATAGTTATCATACGATATTCTATTCTATTAATATGAATATGGAAAGTTTTTACTTGTACCTTGACAACTTTGTGAAAGTTCAAAGCTGGTATAGGTTGACATCTCCAGAAATTTCTTAGGTCGATATCTGTGCAACAGTGACTGAGATTTAAAATAATCTATGCCATGCTTAAATTTTCACAAGCATCATATACTAGCACATACTTGCTAATTATATTTCTAAAGCTTGAAAAAGGGGAACCAGGCTTTAACTCTATTTGTTCCTTGTGATTATTTTTGCTTGCCTATTTGAGGATCAAAGGCTACTATTCTCATCTTCCTTTGTCCATTTACATTACATGCCCATGCATTCTGTTGATGCATCTTGTTCAGTGTCATTTGTGTTTGTCTCTGCATTTGTTTGTTTGTGTTTGTGTAATTATCTTTCTCTTTGTTGTTCATTTGGTTGAGGGACTTGTAATTTTGACAACTGATTTTTGCTCTTTTCCATCCTTTTTCTTTCCTTCCATTGAACAGCTTAAAGAGATGACCAAGGAGTTGGATGCACTTCTGCAGTCAATAGAAGAGAGAGGTGGCTTTAGGGATGCCTGCACTATTTCTCAGATGAGTAAAGTTCAAGAATTGGAGCAGGGCATCGGGACTCTTTCTGAAAAATGCCGAATGTGGAGGGTGACTTTCTCACCAATGGCTCATATCTTATTTCATATTATTTTTACAGACTTAGATATATCTTCATATATGCCAGAATTTGGGGGAGTAAAGACGATAACTTGCTAAATTTTTGTCTCAGTTCTAGTAAAACATAAGCATCACTGAACTCAATCATAAGTTCAACTTGGAGGTAGCTTTTTCCAAAAAGTTCTTCTCCAACTTGATTACTTAGGAGGTTTTGAATACAAATAAACTAGAAAAGTAACAATCTACTTGTGCTGAATTATTAATTATGATTCATGTAATTAATTAGGTTCATCCTAAGTTTGCCTCTAAATAGACTGTAATTGTTTTATCTTGAAGCAGAGATAAGGAGAGATAAAATAAATTAAATCCAAAGTATTTCTTATCTCTCTTCATTCCTCACTTCACCCTTAATACACAATAGCACAAGTGCCAATCTATTCCTTATTAAATCATATAACCATCTCACATGTCCACCGAAAAAGATCCTTGGGCAAATCGACATATCTCCACCCACAATTATTTTCTTGTCTTTTAAAATTTTATAACTAATTACTGTCAAACCAGTTACTTTAACATGCATTTATTGGGTCTCAAATGCAAAGTTGTTTTTCTCAAAGTTGTTTTTCTTTTCTTTTTATGCATGTAAGGTGAAAAGGGGCATTGCCATTCCCATTTAATTACATGTAACGAGATTGCTAAACATGAGAAACACAAAGACAAACTAGACCAACATAGATAAGGGGAGTGGCCCCTAGTTCATTTATATCATTGTGCACTATTCCTTGTATTTATGATGAGTTACTAATTTAAATGTATCCTAAACATCTTCAAGTGCTAGCCATTTGGTTTGGAGTTCATGCTTTTCATCAAGGTATTTTTTACAGTGTTTTGCCCAGCTCTTATCTTGATTGCTTGTCAAATTTGTAGAGCATAATGGATGAACGGCTTGAAGAGATCCAGAATCTTCTTGATAAAACTGTTCAAGGTACTCTGTAATCTGTGCTTAAACATTGACATGCAGCAACTTTTTGCAGAGGAATAGATACGTAATTAAATGGATTTTATGAATATCTAAAGGAGCTGTAAATTATGTTAAGAAAGATGTCAAAAAGAAACAGAAATTGAAGTTAACATATCAAATGTTTTACCAAATGGTTGTAAAACTGGCTTTCAGTTTTGGCAAGGAAAATATACATGGAAGGCGTTGTTAAGCAAGCTTCTGATTGCCGATATTGGGACCTCTGGAATCGCCAGAAGTTGAGTCCTGAACTTGAGCTGAAGCGGCGGCAGATATTACAATTAAATCAGGTATATCATTATGTTATTTCACAAGTGGCAGATGTGTCCAACACAGGATTGAATTGTGTTAACCTTTTCCCCCTTACAGGATTTGACCAATCAATTAATTGAGTTGGAGCAGCATTTCAATACCCTTGAACTCAATAAATTTGGTGAAAATGATGGCCTTCATGTAGGTCGGAGAGCTCCTCAGAGTAAAGTTGGGCTTTCAAGGTACGATTATAATTGATAAATCTGTGTGCCACTTTGGTATAAATGCTTCCAACTGGTTATACTTAAATATTAATGTCAGGCTCTAACTCAATAGTTTAAGCTTTTGAGTCAAATGGTAACATAGTATCAAAGCACAAGGTTTGAGTTTGAGTTTGAGTTTGAGTTCGCCATGTGTAAATGTATTTACATTTGTATTTCTATTAATCTGTATTTATGGTTGGTGTGATCCATCATCTGTCTATTTATATGGTCCAAGTCACATGTGAGGCAGCTTATTAGAATTAAATATTAATTTTGGGCTCTTACTTGATAGCTTAAGCTTTTGATTCTAGTAGTTTTTTTACATCAGCCAACCCAAAAAGAAAGTGCTTAGTTTTTCTGACATTGATTGATATAATATTATGATTCTTGTGAACTTGTATGAAGTAGATGGAAGAGGTGATTCATATGAGCTTTTTAAAATCTGCCAATCATGATGTTTTTATTTATGTGCATCTCTGCAGATGCATTCAATCTCTGCATAGCTTGCATACCACAATGAGTTCACAATTAGCAGCTGCAGAGCTACTCTCTGAACGCCTTTCCAAACAAATGGGTGTTCTGACTATAGAGTCTCCTATGAAACAACAAAATGTAAAAAAGGAGTTATTTGAAACAATTGGAATTCCTTATGATGCCTCTTTCAGCTCTCCTGATGCAAAAGTTACTGACCCCTCTTCCATGAAGAAACTTCTACTTTCTTCTGGTTCTGCTGCTACCAAAGATCATTCCAGGAGACGCCAATCAAGTGCTATGAAAAGTTATGATCCAGAAACTGCAAGGAGGAGGAGAGACTCACTGGACAGGGTAATTTTCTTGGACTACATTTTTTTGTTGTTTACCTTGTACATCGAAAACCTTTTCGGTATATCTAATTTCATAGCTGTCTGTCGCTCTGTCCACCACTACAACTCAGAAGTGAAAGTAGTAATATATCTTTTAAGTTCATCCTGCCAGGGCTTTTCCTACTAGATAGTGTGGTTATACCACTTATTGCATCCAATTTCCTATTCTTCAAACACCAATAACACCCCAACCCTCCCCACCCACCCAACATCTTCTGTTAAATGTGTTTGGCTGTGACTAGAGATGGCAATGGGCCGGGCCGGGACTAGGTACCCCTTGGCCCGGGCTCAAGCTCGACCCCATGACAAAGGCCCAGTCCCGGCCTGGGCCTGTCATGGGTATGACGGGTAAAGCCCAAGCCTGGCCTGACGGGCTTTTTGTAATCTTAGTCTAAGCCCAAGGCTACCCATTTTTATAATGTGAATTTTAAATATTAATAAATTTCAATTTTTTTATATTTTTAATTCTACAGTTTTTAAATATTAATTTATTTTTGAATACTCACCAAATATTAATAAATTTCAATTTTTTTTTATATATATGTAGGATAAATGTGTAATTAGATATATACTATAAGGGTAATTTAGTAAAATTTTTGGGCCGGGCTGGGCCGGGCTGGGCCAGGACTGAAGACATACTCATGCTTGGTCCGTACCCCAAGGTGGGCCCTAAAATCAGTCTTAGGCCCAAGCCCAAGCCTGCTAACAACAGGTAAAGCCTGGTCTTTCTAGCCGGGCCGGGCCAGGTACTCGGAAATACTGGGTCCATTGCCATCTCTAGTTGTGAGTGAAGGAGAGTGTCTTCACTGAGACAAGGAATTGCATACCACCAATCTTTGGCCTGTTTAACAAATCTTCATTTAATGTACATATGTTTGCATGATCTTGTTGCAGAGTTGGGCTAGCTTTGAGCCACCTAAAACAACTGTGAAAAGAATGCTTTTGCAAGAACATCAGAAGGCGAGTCCAAATAAATTATCCTTGAGCGATAAGAAATATGTTAGCCCTCACATGTCAAATGGAGCGGCAATTGTTCGTCCAAAGGATCGAGCAACGCCTTCATCATCCTTGTACCTATCTGGAAACGAAGGTAAGAGTCATTCTCAGTTTCTGACCATATTTGTATGTGCATACCTGTTATGTTACCAGAAATAGTAATTGGGTGTTTTCTCTGTGTATATTTATCTTTGGCAGGCATTCAGGAAACTTCACTAAAACAGGCTTCTGAAAACCAGTCAACCTTGTTCAGATGGGCCAATGATCCAGTAGGACCATCTCAATCTACGGGGCCGAAGTTTCCTGTGTACCAAAGTAACACTGCTGCAATATCATCACATTCAGCTCTGCAATTGCCACTTATGGGAGGGCAAAATCATGCTAGATATGATATCACTGCAGATAAATCAAGCCATGTTGATAAGTCTAATTCGGTTTTGATTGGTGAGACCAGGCCAATTTTGCAATCTGAGACTAGCGTAAATCAAAAGCCATCTACCCATACAGTGTTGCCCTCATTTGCTCCATCGTTATCAAAGAAAACCAGTGAAACACCAAATTCAAATGGTAAAGGGAGTTTGTCAGCAAATTCAACAATTGAAAGTGAGAAACCTCTGCTGACAACTACAAAAATTGTGACTATTGAATCGGGTAAAAATCGTGATGCTCAATTATCAATATCAGCAGCTATCCCAACGGCTTCTGCCCTTCCTGGAAAAGTTGCACAGTTTGATGTTGCAACCAAAAGCAAACCTGGTGAAAAAGTATCAACCTCTCCTGCATTCTCAATGCCACCTGCTTTATTATCTCCAATGTTTAATTTTTCAAATGCTTCCCCATCCACATTATCCACATTGTCTTCAACTTCCTCATCATCTGCAATGTCATTTGGTGAGTCTTTGACTACTTCTAAAGCTTCCATAGATGTTAAGCCAATAGTTTCTTCAATATCCATGTCCTTACCTTCTACCTTACCAATTGCTTCCCCATCCTCAGTATCAGCTTCTTCCTTTACAACTTTTTCCTCTTCTAGTTTCTTCTCTGTTCAGGCTCTCAAAACACCAGTGTCCTTATCTAATACCCCTGCTGTGAGCTTGACGTCAGAGTCTCCTAAAACAGAACCTCAACTCTCTACGGATAAACTTATTTCAAAAACAGAAGGCAATGCTACTATACAAACAAAGCCAGTGCAGCCAGGTTCTCCAGTGGCTGGATTTGGTTCAAAGCTTGAAACTTCTGTGTCATCTACCTCTGCAGTTGAAGCTCCAACTTCAGTGTCATCTACCTCTGCAGTTGAAACTCCAACTTCAGTGTCATCTGCCTCTGCTGTTCATACTCCAACTTCATTGGCACCTGGAAGCAAGCCTAGTTTTACAAATACGGCAGGTAATGTATTTAGTGTGTTATCAAATGCTCAACGAGAAGAGTTATCTACTGCAAACACTCTGTTTTCATCACCGATCCCAACTTCTGCAACTACCACTGGTGGCAAGAATGAAAGTTTGGACATTGCAGTTTCACAGGAGGATGAGATGGAGGAGGAAGCTCCTGAGACCAGCCAGACAACTGAGCTTAGCTTGGGAAGCCTTGGTGGTTTCGGAATTGGCTCAACTCCCAATCCATCTGCACCTAAACCAAATCCGTTTGGTGGTCTTTTTGGCAATGCTGCAACAAGTCCAGTAAGTTCACCTTTCACCGTGTCAGTTCCTAGTGGACAGCTGTTCCGGCCTGCATCTTTTAGCTTTGAATCTCCACAGTCTTCCCAACCATCTCAGCCAACGGCTTTCAGTTCTTTTTCCGGAGGATTTGGTACTACAGCAACTCCTCAAGCTTCCGCCCAAACTGGATTTGGCCAACCAGCCCAGATTGGGTCTGGCCAGCAAGCATTGGGGTCAGTTCTTGGTTCGTTTGGACAGTCAAGACAAATTGGTGCTGGTCTACCAGGAGCAGGTTTTGCTTCTGCAAGTAGCTTTGGTGGTGGTTTTGCTGCTCCTAGCCCCACAGGTGGTTTTTCAAGTTCTGCAACTGGAGGTGGATTTGCTGCTGTTGCTTCTGGGAGTGGTGGATTTGCTAATTTGGCCTCAGGTGGTGGCGGATTTTCTGGTGTCGCTTCTGGAGGAGGCTTTGGTGGAATGGCTCCTGCTAGTGGAGGCTTTGCAGCTGCTGCCCCAGCTGGTGGAGGCTTTGCAGCTGCTGCCTCAGGTGGTGGTGGATTTGCTGTAGCAGGTAGCAGTTTTTATATTGATCTTTCCCCTGTTTTGGGTTTAAGTCCTTATGAAGGTGACATGGTTTTGCTGATCATTGTCATATGTAAACATTTGCAGGTGGTGGTGGATTTGGAGCTTTCGGCAGCCAACAAGGATCAGCATTTGGTGGGGGTGCTGGAGGAACTGGAAAGCCTCCCGAACTCTTCTCACAGATGAGAAAATAGATTTGGCTGTGTTTTTTGAGCAGCAGATCCTCCTATTTATGTATTGGCATAACTATAGAGTTAAGTTCCATTGATAAGGTTCGTAGAAGAAACAGATGTCAGTTCCAGAATGTGAATGTAAAGTATTATTAATATGAGCAGCTTCATTTATGTTTTAGCTTCAACTTTTTACTATTCAAGAGGTGCTGCATTTTATCCTGGGTAAATTTAATATCCCAACAAAATCCAGCACCAGCATTTCCTCTTATTTCAATCTTCAAATGCTTGTACAAAACCAGAATAACCAAACAATTTCTAATGCGATTGATAATAAAAAAATTCAAGTACTTAGTAAAATTTCTATACGGAATCAAACAGGAACTCCTAACTCAGAGATCTTCATTATCCGTTTATCGAGCGCAACCCTCTGCCGCTGCAGGAGTGAAGCCATAGAAGCAACCTAATTAAAACATAAGAGAGATAAGAAGAATCAAGAGCCAAAGCCTTGTTTTCAGTAATTTATGGATGTATCTATGTAAGAATGAAGAGGTTGTTGAAGTTACCTCAGCTCTAAGTTTCAATGCCTCCCTACCGGGGATTTCTCTCAGGCCTTCCATCAAATCTACGCCAAACATACAATAGAAGTGGCAACATTCTTACATTGTTATTAGAACATTCATCTCAACACCTTTTTGGTAAAAAATAGGTGTCTAATGAGCCAAACCAATCCAAATATTTGGTTTATTAAGCTCAGTTCAATATTGAGGGAAAAAAAAAATAATTAAATCAACTAGCGCTACACGTTTGGATTTCAACTTCAGGTAATGTTCAAGGGGATGAGAAAAAAAGGCAACAGAAGTTTTGTGTGAATAGCCATAGTTCATGTCCTTTCGAAAAGAGAATTCTATCATCAAGACAATTTTACGGGAGTCCAAAAATATCAAATCAAGACTCCAACAGTCCTCCCACCAAAACATCATAATAAAGGAAAAGAAAGTGCAATCAAGAATGTGTACCTGCAGCTTGGGTTTCAACTTTGTAAGCTTGTTTAGTGAGACGCTGAACTTGACTTCCAGCATTCCTACAAAAATATAACTTGGAGCAATGAGGGACAGATCTGTAAAGAAAGTTTTGCAACAGAAAATGTAGTGAAGATCACTTTACAAGAGCTCCGTTTCTCCACGCTTCATATCCTTTTCAGCAAGACTTGCCCTTTCCAGCAGTTTTTTGCTCTCCTTCTTCATTAAATCAACAGAGAGGTTCAACTCTTTGACATTCTTCTCAGCCCTGACAAACTTTGCCTGCATAACCAATTGTGGAGGTGAATAAAGGATGAAGTACTGGAATTACACGAAGCCTAGGGCCTGAGGCTTAAGCTTAAATGTACTAAACACGTTTTTCTTACTTTTTTATTTTAACTATTTTCAAACCTACTAATTCAACCAAACCCCAAACCCACCTTGGTGTGACCAGAATTCAATCCCAAGAAATCCAACCAACTGAACTAGCTAGTACCCATTCTAAATTATTAACAGATTGTGCAGACAGATAAATAATCAACTTTCCACTCATAATATCAACGGGGAGAAAAGAGCTCCTACAGAATAAAGAAGATAGATACCTCCTCGCTTTGAAGTCGACCCAATGTATGACGAAACAAAAATCTTCTCGGACCTGCAGAGAAAACCTTAAGGAATCAATTCAAATAAGATTGAGAGTGTAAAATATACAGGAAGATATACCAAAGGCAGTCAAGGGGTGTGAAATGGAAGAAAAAGCATACAAAGATACCACATACATGCATGTACAGGGAGGTAATTGAAAGGTTGGAGCCTAAGAACTAACACATCCCTCCATTAACATTAATGAAAGGAAAAGTAAACATTATCATCCGTAGTCTTCAACATTATAAAGCATAAACATATGTGTACTGGAGTCAAGTCAGCAAATGAAAATGAAATCAATTATAATAAAACTGCAGTAGGCAGTAATGCCCAGGGCTCATACTTTTACATGGATACAAGGAACTGAATAGGTGTTCATCATGAACACCAAAACCAAATTGGCGAAATCAATCAGTAAGTATGTAAATGAACCAAGAATTGCCAATTGCTTTCTTGAAAACAAGCCAGAGTTAAAATTAGCAGGTCGATACCTCGCAAGAGAAGGACACCAGCAGAAAGAGCAATTCCAACAGCTGGACCAGGGTGTTCCCGTGCACCCTTCAACTCCTCTGTAAGAACAATACCAAAGAGTCAGCTGGTCAAAATATCATCAATTTTAATCAAACATATTATTAACCAACCAAGAAAAACATTCCCAATTTAGCAATGTTCTTGATAAACCCTATAGCTGGCAAGCTAAAACCAGCAGTTAAAAACTAAACCCACATAGATTTCAACCGAGTATAAATAAAATCACAAAATAAACAGACGAAAGTTAAGTAAAGAAGTGACCTTTAATTTTGTTGAGAAAAGCTTGTTCGTAAGCTGTATACTTGGTGATGGCATGGGGAAAAGAATCCTACAAAAACAAAGCAAAGAATAATTAAGGAAAAGTCGTTAAATTTCAATTGGAAAATAAAAAGGGAAGAACGATAAATCGAAAACCTGCAAGGAACGAAGATGGGTGGAAGAGTTTTGTTGAAGAGAACGAGCAGAACGAAGAGCAGAGTCTTTAGATTGAATGACAGTACGTTGCAGATCCTCCACCCATTCTTTCGCATCTTTTGCTTTTGGTGGCGTTGCTGATTCCCCTTCTGAACCCATGTCCTCGCTCCCTTTCTTCTTCTTCTTCGACTTCACTTCGCTCTTCTTATCTTGCCCAATACAAAAACAGTACCACTTCGTAATGTTTCTTCTTCTATTTTTATAGGGTATTTTAAAGTACCACTGTATATCGATCGTCTCTAGTAAGCCTATTGGATAGTAGAGGTTGGACTTGGACCCTGTTAATATCGATCATGCTAATGATTTTCTTCCATTTGAACTCATTTCCATAATTCTTTTAGTTGCGCGGCTCCTCAGTAAAAAATCTTTATAATTAGCAACCGTAATCCAAATTCAACTTTTGTCTGTGTCATCACATCCATTCCTCTTCTATTCTATTTGAATATTGTTCATGTATAAAATAGAATTATTTATTTGTTTATTACCAATATTTTTGTTTCATACTTGTTATATTATAATCAATCGAATAACTTAGAATTATTGTTCATATTGAAGTGAACCGAAATTGGTACAAAGTTGGTCCAAAATCAGGGGCGTAGCTAGTATATAAAATATAAGTTCAATTGAATTCACTCAAACTTTTTATTAAAAAAAATAAGCTTTATATTTTATGGTATCGATAATTTTGACCCTACAAAAATTTGTATTAATTTACAATTTTTCACATTTTCTCTATTCTTAATTTACTCTCCTCTTCTCTCATACTTTTTTGCTTCGTTCTTTGGTTGGATTGCTAAAAAAAAAGCTACTCTTTTGAAGGTTACAAGGTTAGATGATACGTTTTTTTTTTTTTTTTTGCTTATAAATCTTTCATTTTAGCTTTTTTAATTTATGAAAGATCATGAACTATGGGTTTTTGTTGAGTTTAATTAATTGATTAATTTGAAATTGGAAGATTAAATTCCTAGGTTTTGATGTGGGTTTTGATTAAATTTTGTTTATGTTGAGGTATGGTTAATGACTTGTTGTTTTAAGTTGGATTTGATAAATTTTGGTTAGTTATCGAGTTAATTTTGAATAGATTTAAAGAATTGATGAAACCCTAAGTTGTACATATTTAGAGATTTGATTTAATTTTGATATATTGGTTAATTGTTTGATATTTAGAGTTAGATTTGATAAGTTTTCATGGGTTTATAAGTTGAATTTTATTAGATTAGTAGAAATTGTTGGAAAAATCGAAGTTATAAGATTTGGGGTTTTAATGAAGATTGTGAAAAATTGACTACTGAATCGAATGAGAGATCAATTGTTAAATGATTGTCTTATTACATATATTAAGAGAGAGATATTTGATGGAATCATCAATGAAACAATTATATAATGTTTCTAGAATATGAAAAATCGTTAATGACGATTATAGAATTGATAATTTGGTATGTATAACTTTTAAAATTACATTTTTTATGCTTATTGCTTCAGCATATATTTTATTGTAAATTTATCAAATTAAAATGTTTTGACCCCACTCAGTAAAAATCCTAGCTACGTCCCTGTCAATGATGCTTGAGCATATATTTGTTTTGAGTGCCTATTTATTTTCTATTGTAGGGTTTTAATTGAATAAAGTGCGGAATAATAAACAAAATTTTTATTCGAAACCCATTTAATCCCAGATCATAGATTGATGTTAATAACTCATTCAAAACAAATATACAAAAAATATTAAAGAATCGTTATAGTCAAACCTTCGATTGGAGGCTCCACCAATTTTGATTGAAGGAAAAATGCTTGCACTTCAGGAGAAGTGAACTAACAGTGATCCACACAAAAACAACAAAACCCACACAATCAATTTGCTAGTTTGAGAGTGAAGATTCAAAGAAGAAAAATGGGAGAAAATTTTCTAGGAAATTTTCTCTCTACAACTTTTAGCTTGGGAGGCAATAATGAGCTAACTGAGAAATAAGGCCCCTTCTATAGGCAAACTCTAACTCTAATATTCCTTTAGCATATATGTTAAAGAATATTCCCTTTAATATCCACTAATATTCATTATTTGTAAATAAATAATTAGAATTTACTTAGAAAATGTCATTTTAGTATTTTATTATTATTGCTTTAATCATACGATAATAATTCACTATTTAAAATGCATATATACTAATAAATTAATTTAAATAATGATTATTTATTCTTTATATATATATATATATATAATCTTACAAATTAAAATTTAATATTAAAATCGAACATAGGCAACAACCTTCCAGGCGACAACCTTCAGTAAACTTAATTGCATGTAAGAATCACCAAAATACCTTTCACCATGAAATGATGAAGATGCCCTTACTCCAAATCTTCTTTGATTTCTCTTTTAAGTGTGTAACACATAGGCTCCTTATCGTATCGACAATGGATAATATCGCAATTGACACTCAATCAATTGTCTCATTACACACGGACCCATATTGGCCTCTAGTCAAGCATCAGGGCCACCTGATAGATTCAGATTCAGTGTATCAGCTACATGTCAACGATATGGTTATTGTGTAATCAAATCTTTTCATCATCCATTATCTCATCAAGGTTTGAAGTGCAGAAAAAATGTCAACTTCAAATATACTACCTTGATATGTTCTTATTCAATAATTCAAACTAACGACTCAATTCCACTGTGACCATAGTTTTGCGGTTGTTGTCATTTATCGAATTATTGAGTGAGATAATTTCTCCTGTAATCAAGAGTGATGAATCATGTGTCAATCCACCATAGTCACAGTGTACTTCTCAATGCAACCAATCACTTTCGTATTGATAACCCTATATAGGATTACGTTAGGCCAGTGTCAAACTACATTGATATTTACACACGGTGCTCTGGTGATCTTAAGTTTAAGGATCACATGGATCACCATCTGTTAGAGGATATATTCCATATGAAATCCTCTAATTGATCATGTCCAGTGAACTTGCCAACTACAAGCATCCATGCATCACACCAAGTTGTCAACAAACAACTTTTACATGCAAGATTTGTTACTATCTTTCGATAGGGTTATTCACCGCTATGATAGCCTTACCGTATTATCTATGTCCTTACTTCAAGATAATACAGGGGTTACAAACGATTTCTAGAATGGCCATCTAATGTGATCATATGGTTCTTACAATCAAGATTTAAAGCATTTGAGACCCTCGTCATAATTCTATCATTCTAAGGACATATATTACAACATATCCTAAATACAATATACATAATATAGTTAGACATAATATAGTCAAATTGTCTTTTATTGATATCAACATGTTTTTACAAGTAGTCAAATACTACAATTTTTTTGGCTTTGGGGCACCTACCCTAACATCTATAAGTATCTATGGATTGATATAATAGATGTGGACCTTATTAAGCATTGTATATCTATCTTGTGGATAGCTCAGATGGTTAGGACGAATTGGAGATAGTGTGAATAGGCGCACAATCTCATGTTTGATTCCCCATCTAAGTATCCGCGACTTAATTGAGGGGTCGTGGCAGTGGGTTGCTGCGCTAGTCTATTACAGTCATGAAAATAATTCTATTTAGGTGATAAAAATATTTCATTTGTGATTAAATTAAAATTATATTGAGACAATTAAAGAATTTGTGAATTTATTCATGAAAAATCACATTCTACATTTTTCTTGCAAATGTTGCATGCTTGGAATGAACTTTGAGATTGTGTACGCTGATATTAGGGTTTGATTTATTAATTAGGGTTGATTTTGTCTATTTAATGTTGTTCAGGGTCAAATTGTCATTTATATTTGGCATTTATTTTTGTTATTTTTTCTTGTAGGCACTAAACTAATATTTGCCAACTTGGCTATATAAATAAAGTGAAAGGTCACATTTTGAGCAGTCGCTGCTCAACCAAAACCCTAAGCTTCATCTCCCATTTTGCAGCGACTTTGGCGACCCTTCACCTCTTAAAACTCCTATCAACCATCGTCTCTTTCATCTCCATCATCTCCTCATCAATTTGCATCGTCGGTCGTGCATCGTTTCATCTTCCATCACCGTGACTCTTCATATTCTGATAGCGTTTCATCTTCTCTGTTGTCGATCTATCTTCCCCATCTGCTAACCATCTCTCCCTTGTCATCCTTCAACATTTTCAAGCGTCTTTTCACCTTCCACCACTGCGAGTCCATTTGGCATTTCATCTTCCTCGGCGTTGATCCATCTTTCTATGGTGTCAATCGGTCATCTTATCTAGTCGAGACATTCCATCTACCACTAATAGTTCGTGTTCAACATGGCCATTAACTGTTCATCATCTCCAACTTTGCTAATGTCACCATGAGCGATTGAGCTCTTGGTTGCCTATTACGGTGAAGGCAAGCATGGCTTCTCTTCACGATATTTCTTGACTAGTTGTATTGAAATCGATTGTTTGACAAATTATTTGTGTTGTGTTTAGATTCTGTTTGTTTTTGTTTAAGCTTGATTACAATACTTTAACATGATTCTGATATATGATCGTTTAAATTGTTGGTGTGCATCGAGAACATGTCTTGAAATTGAACTAATTACACGATGAATGTTGGTTTAAGAATGCTAAATGTTTATTCATGCTTTCAATTGCTTCACTTTGGATTGCAATAAAGTATATTTACATTTAATAGTATTTCTGCTTTGAATTCATTTATTGTGTAATTGATTGGTTGGTTGATACAAGGTTGATGGATTGTATTTGTTAGCATTGTGCCAACTAGTGGTATTTAAATTGTTAGTGTTTTTCAGTCAATTGATGATAGTCTTTAACCCATCGAACACCGATCGAATCAGTAGCGAGACAAGATATATTATAGCTAGATTGCTGGAAAACCATTTTATGTGATTTTCCTATCCTTGTAGGATTAGGAAATCCAAGAGTGCAAAGAGGAATTGTGAGTGTTAATGTTGAGTCGAGTAGAAACTGAAGGACAACATCTTTAGTATTATTGTTCTTGTTAGCAATTTATTTTCTGCTCTTAATTTCTTGTAATTAATTAGTTTACTTAGTCTTTAATTAACCAAATTGCTCAATTTCCCTTTTATTAGACTCGAATAT